AACATATTTTCCACAATGACCCCAAAAATGTAAAGGAAAACATCATTGAAAAGCTTCAAAACTAATCAATGTAGGGATCACTCGTGACTTCAGAGGATTGATGAGGAAGGATACCTTTTGCCACTCAGCACACATTTTCAGACATGGTTAATTTTTCTTAATTATACTTGCTTATTAAAGAAAGTGTTCTACTGGGAAACAGAATGATGGAAATGACAGTCATACAGAGAAAAAAATACCAGGAAAACATTTTTAAAAGAAAAACTATGAATAATAGTTGGAGATTATAAAGCATAATGTGCCAGATAATTAGTTTAATAGCAATTAAAATAAAAATCATGGTAGAGGGCCACTTGTCAATTTCACCTTGTCACAAATATGCCCAATGTTCTTTGTGAATGAAATAAAAATGTGTCACTAGCAAGGGAAAGTAAAAACAAAAAAAGTGGAGGGGGCTGGACAAGATGACCTCTAAGCTCCATTTCAGTTCTAAATCTATGGTCATCTATGACCTCTGTCTATATAACTCTCTATATATGCCATAACTCTCTGGAGGACGATCTCTAAAGGAATGCCACAGTGTTTTGTTCTTGGACCTATACAATTAAACACTGTTATCAGTGACTTAGAGGAAAACTAGATGATAGTTAAAAAACTATTCTAGTTGTAAATCCAAGGATTTTATAGGAAGTGCCAGGGTTATGAGTGAGAGGAGCAAAGAGAGGAGAGCAGAAGAAGTAGAAATAGTCAATGTAGACAACCTTTGCAAGGAGTTTGGCTAAGAATGGGCAGAGAGGTATAGGGCAATAGTTTGAGGAGATACTGAGGTCCAGAGAAGGTTTTTTAAAAATAGGAGAGTTGGACATGTTTGAAGGCAATAAGGAAGGAATCAGTTGATAGGAAGAGGTAGAAGATTGAGAGGGGGGATGATTGAAATGCAATGTGTTGGAGAAGACAGGAGGGAATGAGATCCAGCTCACATGTAGAGACTTTGGCCTTGGCAAAGAGAAGGGCCACCCCTTCATCAGAGACTGAGTAATGGAGGGGAGAGCAGGAGATCATATCATCAGATGAAAGGGGGTGAAGAGAGAGAACAGCAAAGATGGTGGAGAAGCAAAAAGAAGTACAGCCATGCTCTTGCCCACAATTACTACACAAAGATCTTGAAAACATCTCAGACCAAGTCGAATACGAAATTCAAGGGAAAAAAATCACAGGGCATCATTTTGTTTCCAGCCCACATCTATATAGGGAAACAGAGGACTGTGGACAGTGGGGATGAGATCTAGCCAGGAACAGCCTCTCTGAGCCTTCCAGCACAGGGACCAAGCAAGCATCTGCCTGCTTTATTCAGTGAACAAAGGCAAGCAGAGGTCACAGATTGGGCACAGACTAGCCTGACTTCATGCAAAGGGCAGGAACAGAACTGGGAGCTCTACCCAGTGCTCAGTTGGAGATTCTGTGCAGACTGAGGAGGGGACCTGCACCTAGGGGCATTGGTCCAGGGCAAGGAGAAGGCCCTAGGCTGTGTCCTGAGAGAACTGCAAATATAAAGCCTGAAGGGCCCTGACCCCAACCCTAGCCCTGCCACAAAGGCAGAGGGAAGAATAAGGGGGAGGGTAGATTAAGGGAAGGACTCACCCTAAGCAAAACATATTCTAATCATGGAAGAAAGATCACAAAGAGGAGCTCAAAGGAAAGAAAGAATAAGAACCTTTCGTTGGGCTCTGGTTGAGGGAAAGAGAATAGGGGCAGGGGGGCAGAAGCAAATTGTATCTAACTTAGTACAACAGTCACCACCCTTTTCTGCTTTCTAAAGAAAGGGCAGGAAACTCTTCCGCACAGTGACCAACCATCATTCCAGTGGGCTCAGGATGAGCCATTCTACCCACCTGCTGAGATAAAAGTAATAGACAGAGGGTTCAGAGTGAGACCATTCCTCAGACCTGGCACCCCATATCTCCCATCTCCCTCCTCTGCAGCTTTGCACAATGTCTGCCATTCCCAAAATGTACTCTCTTCTCACTTACATCTCTTAGAATTCCTAGGACGGCTCTCCACTACTCATTTCCTTTTCCTTTATCCTCCCAAGGCCTGCCTGCTTTCTATCGCGTGGCCATTGCTTTTTAGCCGGTGTTTACACTAGTAGCTAATAATGATAATCTCAAGCACTTATGTAGCACTTTAATGTTCACAAAGCACTTTATGTTACCTCATTTGATCCTGACCACAACCCTGTGAGGGAAGGTGCCATTTTACAGATGAGGAAACTGAGGCAGGGAGAGTTAAATGACTTGCCTAGTTCCATGCAGCTAGTAAGAGCTTGAAGCAAGATTTGAACTCAGGCTTTCTGATTCCAAATTCAGCCCTCTATCCATTACACCACCTAGCTGCTTTTATCTTCTTCCTGACCCACTTTGATAGAAATTGAGCATTTTTCCTCCTATTGTTCTGTCTCTGAAAAAGGAACGCAGTCATTTTTTAGTTTTCCAAGGCTTTTCAATGCTTGTCATAAGAAAGTAAGAAGTCTCCTTACTGAGCTTCCTATTATCACACCTCCTTTCTTCTGTTCCACTGAGGCCCTATGGGAGAGATAAGATGACAGACAAAGAGCACCCTCTGTTCCAGTCAAACTGACCTGGCCAGCTATTCTCTGGCACGCACATAGCTCTCCTCCTACCTCGATATCTTGGCACAAGTGGTCCCCTTAGGCCAGAAAACACTGTCTCTTCCCCTCACCTTACTTAGTAGAGTTCCTCTGTCCTTCATGGCTCAGCTGTAACTTTTACTGATCCCATTATTAATAGCATTTTCTGCCTCTTAAAATTATATTGAATTACAATTTGCATATGCTTTTTATTTACTTATTTGTATATGAGTTTTATCCCACCACCACCCCCTATGGAAAGTGAGCTGCCTGAGAGCAGGACCTGATTCATTTCAATCTTTGTACTGTACATCCCCAGTGCCTAGTGCAGTGTCTTGCAGATAATAGGTGATTAATAAATACTTGTTGATATATGTCTTGCACATAGTGGGAGCTTAATAAGTGCTGGAACCGAATTGAATACAGATGCTAATGATAGGTTCTTGAGTGTACAAAGGACTGAAACAAGATTCACACACATTTCAGAAGAAAACCAAACTCGGGCTTATCCTGGGAATGCCATCACAGGAAACCGAGAGAGCAAATCTCTGGGGTAAAGAGAAGACAAGAACCTAGAGAGACAGGAACGTAGGAGGACAAGCAGTGAGGACTCACGGCACTGGGACTGAGGGAACGGCAGCAGTGGAAGGAGGAAGAGAAAGGAGATGAACAGGATTTACTCTCCATCCTCCTCCTTGCCACTGAAATCTTGCCTTTACCAGACCTAGCGAAAGGTAAGAAGCACGTATGACACGGGGGCGTGGGAGGGACAGCAGAAGGCAATGGAGCAGAACAGGGAAGGAGAAGGGGAGGAAAATCACAAATGCTGACAGTGTGGAAAGAAGAAAGGTTTCCATGACCTAGGTACGGCTCATCTACCCGAAGGGAGTGGTGGAAGGCTGCTTGTGGGTGAGGAACAGAGTAACAATTAGTAAGAGCCTAATAGATAACTTGTGGGCAGCTAGGTGGCGCCATAGGGCATAGAGTGCTGGGCTTGGAATCGGGAAGCCTCGTCTTTCCGAGTTCAAATGTGGCCTCAGACACTTCCTAGCTGTGTGACCCTGGGCAAGTCACTCAACCCCATTTGCCTCAGTTTCCTCATCTGTAAAAGGAGGTGGAGAAAGAAATCGTAAACCACTCCAGTATCTTTGCCAAGGAAACCTCAAATGGGGTCACAAAGAGTCAGACACAACTGAACAACAAATTGACAAGTTATATAGGGAAGAAAAAAAAATTGAGCCTCCTGACATCAGGATAAGCAGGCTCTTAAAGTGTTGAACTCCCAGTCACTGAAAGCGTTTAAATAACGGCTAGATATTCATCCATAAGAGATGTAGGAGAGAAACATTTTTCCCATTGAGAAAAAGATCGACTAGGTAAGTTCTAGTCTCCTTTCCAGCTTCAAGATTTCATAAAACTATGAAATACATTTTATCTTGGATTCCTTTTATTTGTAGTGCAAACAGATACTAAAATGTTACATGATTAAAGACAAAGTATTCCAACATTTGTCAGTCATTCATTTCATAAATCTGTGCCCTCGTGGTAAATAGTTAATAATGATATTATAATGTGGTAAATTGAATATAAAATTAATGAACTTTATTTTGATTATAAATTCCTATGTACTCTTTGGAAACTAATGAACTAAATAATAAGCAAACAGGAAACTAATTATTTCTGCCTATCTAGATCTTGGCTCAGAATGGACTCCATTTACACCCATCGTCCCCTCCTGTCCATCCCAACCTCACCCCTGCCCTCTTTCCTAGTCACTCAGGTCCCAACCCTGCAACTTTTAATCCTCCTGTCTACTACCTCCCACCACATACTCCCTAAAAATAAGAAAATGCAATATTTATCAAATTTTAAGACTATTTTACATTTCATTGACATAGACTTGCCTTACAAACAATATCTTCTTTGTAGAGATTGACTCCCATGTCATTGGGGACCAATAAAAATATTTTTAGGAAGCTTTTTTTTGGTAGCCACTAAACTAGCAAAATGGACCAACTACAGGAAACAATTATAGCAGCAGTGTTCAGGTAGATGTTTAACAACCAGCTCTCAAAAAAAATTGTACAAAGAACACATTCTTAAGGTGAATCTGCATTATCAGTACTTTATCATTTTCTTAAGTCTAGACAATCAACAAAACAATAAATCAAGTCCTGATCTATATCATTTACCCATTTCCAAGGTGCAAATGCTCACACTGAAAATTTAACAATTGGCTCTTGGGGGCCATTTTGAGCTGTCTTCCACACAGCCCTGAACATCAGGCTCATTCAATTGACTCAGGACATTATAATAACATAAAACAGATTAAGATGAGATTCTAACTGTCTACCTTTAACTTGCTTTTGATACTTCTGTAGTTCTGGGGCCAGGAATCCACTGAAAGGTCCAAGACATCCAACTGCATTGACAATAGCATCCTCATCATCTAGGTCATTCTCTTCATCGCTGTCTCTGTTCCTGGCAAGCCGTCTGTGAGAGTGTTTAAAAAAAAAAAAAGTGGTTGATTTTTTTAAAGAACATGTTCTTAACTGGTTGCCAATTTCCCTGTACAAATCATGCTTACAAATGTGTCTAATTGCTTTGGAAACTACATCAAGCCATCGCAATTTAACTCTGATATTCTCTCTTGAATCTACATGGAAAGTCTATGTGAGAGGGGGTGGTTTCTGATTCTCCATGTGGTGTTATCCCTATAATATTGTCATTAATGAATGTTTCATTAGTAATATTCAATTTAGTTCAACAAAGATTTATTAAGTGCCTACAATATACAAGGCACTGTGTTAGTCACTATGTATATATAGATTAAAAAATCAAAACAGTCCCCCACTTCAAGGAGCTCACATTCTATATAAAGGCAACAGCATCTTCAGTCCTTAAGAAAACACACTTACACTTCCGCTCCCGGGAGCCAAGATGGCGGAATAAGAGGTGAGTTGCTCTTACCCTCCCATAATAACCTCTGAAAACCCAGAAAATTTCACCCAAGGAAAAACCCTGGAACAGCTGAATCAGAAGAAAAATGGAGTGCAGCAGTCCTGTAGCCCAGGTAGCTTGAGGGATTGACGGGAAAAGCCCCCCTTGCCCTGGGGGAAGGGAAGCAGTACAGAATGGGAGGTGTCCCAGCAAGCTAATGGAAGGCCCCACCTCAACATACCAGGAGGAGATCCTGAAACACAGGCGGTGGAGCAGGCAAACACCAACACCTGGACACACCGCACCCCCCCCCCAAGTGCCTCAGTGAGGGCAGGGGGAACCGGTGGAAACCAGCTCAGAAAACCACCAGGTGCCTTGGCATTATATATATTACCAAGAAAACACACTTACCCAGAAACTGAAATGGGTTTGACTGTGGCTGGGAATGGAGTAATGTTGTAGGTGTATTTCTCCCTTAGCTCTGCCAATTGAGGGAAAGGGAACTGGGCCATGGAATAAACAGTCTGAAAAAGAGAATGTTACCTTTAAGTGGCTCTTCATTGGTTCTAATGAGTTCTTGAATCTCTATGGAAGCTTTGCAAGAAGAGACACTTCTCACATGAAGGGTGGGGGAAGAAAACATTTTTGTAGGTAAGTAGTCATTTTCATGTGTCACTTTTCATGGGTAAGTGGTCATTTTTTCATATGAAGTTAGTCATTTTTCATAGGGAAGCAGTCATTTTCATAGATTTAGAGCCTGGAGGTCTGAACTCAACCAGGCCTCAAATTTATATCTCCTGGACTCCCAGTGTTCTTTCCACTACAGTATGCTGATGAAAAACAAGGGTTCACAAAGCCCTCAACAGTGACCAGGCATCCCCACCACACAGAAGGCATCGCTGTGCTTCTGTGACATTTACTGCTTTCTCTAATTTGGGCAAGAGACACAGGGTGGGGCAACTTAAAATAGACATCTAAAGTCAGAGTTTTTGGTAAACATGAAATCTGGTGGATGATCTTGTGATGAGCAAATACAGGGTTTTTGGGTTTTTTTCCCCAAACATGTCACCTTTTCCCAAGGTTGTGAATGAGTTTTGAGGGAAGTTGTTAATTGTTCATTCAAAAGAGAAAAAAGTGTAAGAAATAAAAAAGGTGGAAATCATGAGCTGTTAGTGAAATGTCTAAATATATATTTAAAGAAGTCACTTATGTTTTTCTCCCCAGCCAGAGTACTGAATTCTCCATCACTGAAAGGGTTCAAGTGGGAGCTAGATGAGATTGAAAAATTGAAAAATGTCAATATCTAGTAAAGACAGCCAATGATGTACTTTTTCCATTGGCAGCAATGTATCTATTTCATTAATGACAACCACTAAAACCAATTACCAAAATAAGACAAATTCAGAACCAGTCCTTCAAAAATCCCTGTATTAGCATGGTGTCAAAAGAATATGTTCAAAATTAATGAAGCATATTCAATAGCATTGCTTTCACAGAAAATTTTATTTATACTGATGAATGATCAAAAAGTTTAGTGATCATTATTCTCACCAATCTCAACTTTTAATTGTAATCCTTTTTAATTTCCTTTTTTGAGACCACCACCAATATGCAGTCTATGATGATGCTTCTTCCTTCAGCTTCTCCAGAAATTCATTCAGCAAAGCAATTCAGCCACATTGATCCCAAAGCTAGTCCTTGAAACATCTACCTAACAATAGAAAAATGTCTCTGAGGCTTCAGAAAATCTGTCTGGGCAGTACTAGAATGACACAGACCAATTATAAAACGAGAGGGAGCACAGCATGGTGGAGAGTAGTGGACCCAGAGTCGAGAAAACCTGGGTTCACATCCCACCTCTGACACTTCCTCACTGTGTGACAAAAGATGAGAAGACACAACCTCTCAGAGCTTTAGTTTCTTCATCCATAAAATAGGGATAATAATGCTTCATAGGGTTATCTCACAAATCAGATAATATTCATAATGCACTTTGCAAAAAGTACCATATAAATATCACATATTATGCACTCTTTCCCCTGCCTTAAAGAATCACAGAATTTTATAGTTGCAATGGATCTCAGTGGCCATCTATTCCAAACCGCACACAGAAATATATGTGTGCTACAACGGGGGTCTCTAAATCTGAAGTCTACCAACCCCCTAAGGGGTCCATGGATAGATTTCAGGAAGTCCACGATCTTGGGTGGAAAAAAAATTATATCTTTATTTCAATATAATTGGTTTCCTCTATAATTCCATGTATTTAAAAACATGTCCTTAATAATAATAAATAATTTTAGTAACATTTAATAATAATAAATACATAATCCCATGTTTTTAAACACATTTAACAACATTTTCCTAAGGGTCCATTGGCTTCCCCAGACTGCCAAAGGCATCCATGACCCAAAAAAGGGTAATAACCTTTGCTATACAGTATCTTTAACAAGTTGTCTTTGCTTAAAGATCTCCAAAGAGAAGGAATACACTACCTTCCAAGGAGGAACATTTAACCTTTGTATAATTCTGATTGTTAGGAAGTTTTTCTTTATAGCAAGCTTAAATCTCCCTCTTCACAATTTTCATCAACTGCCCCTAGTTCTGCCCTTTAAGGTCAAACAGAACAAACTAGAAGAACATGGAGGAAAGCTTCCACATGGTAGCCTTTCAAGTACTTTTAAGACAGGTATCATGTTCACTCTTTGTGCAAATCATTTTCAATAAATTCTCATGGAGCATGGACTCAAGATCCTTCCTCATTTTGGTTGTTCCTCTTTGACTTAATCTATGTCAAAGTAAGTGACCTAATTAGAAGTCAAAAAGGATCTCAAGAAAAAGAAGAGGGTTATAATAATATTACCTTAATTTGTATAGTACTTTATTGCTTGCAAAGCATTTCTGCACACGATGTCATTCGATTTTTACAATGGCCTTGTGATAGGGGCAGCTAGGTGGCGCAGTTGATAGAGCAATGGCCCTGGATTCAGAACGACCTGAGTTCAAATCCGATCTCAGACACATAACACTTAATAGCTGTGTGACCCTGGGCCAAGTCACATAACCCCATTGCCTAGCCAAAAAAAAAAAAAAAAAATGCCCTTGTGATGTCATTGGACACATGCATGCCTGGAGGGTAGGGCAAGTCAATATTATAGCTGATCTTTGTTGATGGGGGGGGGGGGACTACAAGTTGTAAGGCAGATGGCAAGAATTAAAACATTGAGGGCTGATATAAAGAGAATGCAAGGGATGTGGTTGTCAAGGACTTGTGTTGTTCTATAATTTAATGCTACAATTCTAGCCAGAAAATAAAACATGGCTACAATACTGTATCTACCAACTCCTTCAGTACATGACTTAACCTTTCTAAACCCAGAGGATACAGGCATTCTCCAGATAACTCTCCCTATTCCTACACAGGACAACTCAAACCAAAGATATCTGACAGACTGAAAAAGGGCCAGCTCTGGGTAGGTTTCCTTTTTAATCAGCTCAGACCTTCTGCCTTCTTTATCACATCTTTTAAACTTTCAAGTTAGTATAAGGGTGGGATTAATTGATTTATCACCCTACCCCACTTAAATAATAAGATGGCCAATCCATAAATATCATTCATAGGCCATAGACTAAGTGTGAAAAGTCTTTGCAAACCATCTAATCAAAGGAAATTATACCAGACAGGAAATCTATTTCAAATGGCTGAAAAATTTCCTCAGACTCACTGGGTTATGAATAAAGCATGAAATTAGGAAGTTTCAGGAAGTGGTGAACCAGAAGAGAGAACAAAGCAGATTCTCAACTGACAATCCTGGGGAGAAGCATACCAATGGGGCTCAAGCCAATGCCATTATAGAATTACCTCTGACTTTCCAGGGGTATCCCCAGAACCTCTTGGTCTTGCTTAGGGACCTGAGACTCAGATTCTCACATAGGAGAATGGGATAAGGATACTCAGAACTTATATGGGCTACATGAGAAAACAAAGTATATGACTGAAATGACCTCATTTTTTCTCACAATAATTATCCCCAAGAAAACGATGAGACACCGAGAAGTTTTAAATGGTTTGCCCATGGACACATCCAGGACCAGAAGCTGGATCTCTTGCTTCCCAACCCAGTATTTTTCCATTATGCCATATGTCTTCTCCAATATGTTGTTTCCTCATTAATTTATTTTATACCTATTGCTTCTGTGGCTTGTGTCATATTATTTACTCTGAATGTTCTCATTTCTTTCATGTTTGTCTAATGCTAAACAGTATCTGTATGGTGTTTAATATTCTTTGGCATAGCCCAACAGCCACAAGGCAGATAGCTTTTGGAAAAAAAATTAAAAACTACTAAATGCTTCCCAATTTGGAAAACATTCTCATTCCCAAAGGTTGTATATTTTATAATAAAAAAGCGATCAAATCCTGGTACTTTGATAACTGTGTCAATTGCTTCCTGTGGAATGGTACTAGGCAGTCAATGTAATGTATTCTAGATTTTACCAATTATCTCAGAGCCAAAGTATCATTGAATCTTGAAGTGGGACAATGTCTCAGAGGCTGCCTAGGCCACTCCCAATGCAGAGATTCCTGCCAAAGCATCACTGATAAATGCCCAGCCTGCCTCTACCTCAACATTTTGATGAAGGGAAGCTCACTACTTTGTAAAGCATCCTGTTCTCTTGTTAGACTACTCTCATTTTTAGGAAGTTTCTTTTTACTGAGCTAAGTTTCTCTCTGTTTTTGGAATTCTGCCCTCTGGGGCCAAAAACAAGTCCAATTCTACTTTCTCACTTTCAGTCTTTCAAATATATGAAGCTGAAATCTGTGTTCCTAGGAATTACCTCTTCCAGACCAAACATCATCGATTCCCTTGACTTGCCTCATATAAATTTGAGACCCCTTCACTATGCTAGGTACCCTCCTCTGGCTGCTCTCTAGCATGTCAATGTCTCTCTAAAATGTGGCACAAAAAATTGTACATAATACTCTTGGTGTGGTGCAAACATCACTTAGTACAGGGTGACAATTCCCTCCCTTAATTAGGACACTATATTTCTACTTGGACTGGACCTCTGATTTCAAGGACAGGAAGTCCCTCTACCAACACAGGCCAACAACTGTTCAACTTAAAAATGTCTTGGGACACTGCAAGGTTGAGCAACTTGCCCAGGTTCATACATTTAGCATGTATCAAAGGCATGACAAACCCAAGTCTTCCTGACTCTGAGGCTGCCTTTCTAGCAACTATACTGAGAAAGTCACTTAAACACTGCTTGCCTCAGTTTCTTCATCTATAAAATGGAGATAATAATAATAGCACCTATCTCCCAAGATGGTTGTGAGGATCAAATGAGTTAATAATTGCAGAGTACTTAGCGCTTTACAAAATAGTACAAAATAGTGTAAAGCACTATGTGCCAGTGCCTGGCACATAGAAAGCACCATATAAATGTTAGCTATTAGTATTATTATTGTTATCATTATTACTATTATCATACCACACTGTCACTCATATATATACAAATGATCAGTAATACAAGCATATTCTACCAAATGAAATTAACTGGTTTCACAAAAATACATTATTATCTCCCAGAGATATCTGAAACTCAACCTGCCCAAATTAGTACTCATTTTTCTCTCTCCCACCCCCACCTACCCTAAAGCTACTCCTCTTCCAAGTTTCCCTATTACCATCAAAGGCACCACCATCCTTGTGATTTGCCAGGTTCTCAGTGTTATCCTGGACTCCTTCCTTTCCCTCATCCCACATGTCTAAGCAGTTGTCCAATTGTGTTGATTCTACCACTACCACATCCTTCCCATCTGATCCCTTCTCATTACACATATAGCCACCACTTCAGAACAGGTTCTCATCCCCTCTCACCTGGACTATTGAAATCATTCCTTAATTGGTCTCCCTGCTTCATTGGTCTTAACTGGTCTCTCACCACACAGCCACCAAAGTGATTTTCCTAAAGCACAAGTCTAGTCATGTTACCCTTCCTCAGCCTTTTAAATAAACTCTAGTGACCACTACCAGGTCTGTATCCAAAAGAAATTTTAAAAAAAAGAAAAGGATCTATATGTACAAACATATTTATAGCAGCTCTTTTAATGGTGGCAAAGAACTGGAAATTGATGGGGCATCCATCAATTGGGGAATGGCTGAACAAGTTATTGTATATGATTGTAATGAAAAACTATTGTGCTATAAGAAATCACGAGTGGGATGCTCTCAGAAAAACCTAGAAAAACATATATGAACTGATGCAAAGTGAAGTGAGTGGAACCAAGAGAACACTGTATACATTCAGAGCAATATTATAGGATGATCAACTGTGAATGACTTAGCTATTCTTAGCAATAAAACGATACAAAGACAATCCTGAAGGACTTCTGATGAAAAATGCTATCCATCTCCAGAGAAAGAACTGATTGAATCTGAATGCAGATCGAAACATACTTTTTCTTTATTTTCTTTATTTTCCTTTTTTTTTTTTTGGTCTGTGTTTTCTTTTACAACATGACTAACATGGAAATGTTTTTCATGACTGCACATGTATAACCTATATCAAATTGTTTGCCTCCTCAATAAGGGGGGAAGGGAAGGGCAGGGAAGGAAAGAATTTGGAACTCAAAAATTTTTTTAAAACAAATGTTAAAAATTGTTTTTACATGTAATTGGGTAAAAATAAAATATTAACTATAAGATAGATAGATAGATAAGACAGATAGACAAACAGACAGACAGACAGACAAATAAACTCCAGTGGCTTACCGTTTGCCTCTAGAAGAAAACATAAACTCGTTTGTTTGGTATCTAGTTGGCCCCAATCTACCTTCCCCCACTCCCCAGTCCAACTGAACTGGCCAACCTACTGTTCCTACCACACAATGCAACTAGAACGATCAAGAAACAGTCCCTAATGGAGGTGGTACATGAGCTAAGTGTTGAATAAAGCCAAGAGCTCTAGAAGATGGAGATAAGGAGGGACTGTGCTCCAGCTATGGGGACAGCCTGTGCAGAGGCATACAAGTGGGAGAGAGAATGCCAACTTGGCAAAATGAGACAGGTTGACTACATTTTAAATTTTTTCAACCAGTTGTGTGTTTCAACCACAACAACCTCTCTATAGACATGGATTTATATCTTTGAAGATTTATTTCTATTTAGGATGCTATTTTTAAAAAAAAAAGGCTCTCTATAAAACACAAAAGAGAAACATCCAATGAAACAAAGCTGGTCTTCTCTCTTCCCCTTCTCTCCTTACTCACCTGCATGAGTTCATTGCTTTCAATCAGATTGTCCTCCAGCATCTCCTGAGTCAGTCTTCCCATGGTACTGTAGAATTCATCCGCTGTTTCACAGCATTCTATCTGTCTGTATTAAAAACAAATTTTTAAGCTCTTTCTGAAGTCCATGCCATGCAATTAAATAAACATTACCAGGATATATACTTCATGCCGTTGTCCTCCATTAAGAGCTAACAAACACAATAATGTACAAAATGAACAAAAATCATGACCTGCAGGTCCACTTGTTCCCCTTTGAAGCACTGTACATTATAAGAACTGACATTTTGACATAAGATTTGTGAAACGCTTTGCAAACCTGGTCTCACTTTATCTTCACAACAACCCTGTGAAGTAGCTACACCCAGAAGAACTATTAGCCCCATTTTACAGGTGAGGAAACTGAGGCGCCATAAGCTTAGTAAATGTCAAAAGTGGAATTCAAATCCAGATCTTCTCAACTCCAAATCCAGCATTCCATCTGCTATGCCCTATTGCTGCCATATGCCAAAGGACCTACTGTTGATCTAAAATACCACCCAAAACTGGTTGCTAAATTTGCCCCCTGTGGACACAATGCCGTTCTCAATCTGAAAATTGCTGTTGTTAATAGATGGTTTCATTGAGAATGTAGAAACTAAACCATAGAGAAAGTAAGAAATGAAAACTCACTGTTTCAATGGCATATACAGGGTATCTCAAAAGTCTAGCTTAATTTAATTAAGCTTTCATAGTTTAAAACTGCAGTAAGACTTCTGGGATATGCTATATTTTTCTGATTGTATATACTCAGCAGGGCCTCATTGAAAGTAAAATTTTCTCCATTCTCCTCGAAGAATTTCTTATAAGGTACTAGATTCTGGTGCAATTTAAAATCTCCTCCTTCTTCCAAAAAGAAGAGAATTCCCTGAGACCAAGGATCCTGGGTATTTCTATTTCCTACAGACAGATTGAAGAGCTGATTTTGGTGGTCTTGTTTCTTTTTCTGGGTAGAGGAAGATGGAATTACTTAGCCACCATTAACAGCACATGTATTTTGAGGGGCAACTCTATTTTTTCCCTAATGTGGTGATGTATAGTGAATCCCCTTATGACCAAAAACACACTTTTTCAAGATAGGCAGGAAAAAAGTGTGATGAAGAAAACAGACCCTTTGTGGATTTGCCAATCATGTTCTCCTAGTGAGTTACAAGTTGGAGGGATACAAATTTAATAAAAATAGACAAAGACATTAGAAAAGATATTACTCTGTAGCTGCGGCTTATACATCTGCTGAACTCTGTAGTAATGCTCATAAGTAGCCCGTCCATTAATAACTACATCAAAAATATATAGACATATAGCTTATATTATATTCTTTATAGATATTTTGGTCTTAATAGCACTTATTTTAACAAAGAGCTATGTCTAAATTAAGTACTTGTATGAGATCTTAATCTTTGTGGGTTGATTGACAATTGGAAATAAAATTTATATTTTCTCTTTTCTTCCTCTTTCATCATTAACATCTGAATATATAAACAAATATCAACGATTAAACACATTCTATGCTGGTTTGCTATTTTAATTCCTTGCAACCACCTCCATTGGAGGTCACTACTTTTCCCACCCCAATCAGCACCTACCACAGTGCCTGGAATATAGTAGACATCTAACTAGTGACCATGACTGGGCTAGGAAGGGGGATTAGCATATTCTTTGCTCCCCAGTGCTACACCAATCATATACCATTATTCTTTAGAAACCTCTCTTTTATCTTGAAATACTTGCAACGTATTTCTCCACTCTTTCTCCATCCTTATTGTTGTCACCTACAGACCTCCAGGTCACTCTCCCAACTTTCTCAATGACTTTACCAACTAACTCACAGACTTTGTCTCTATCTCATTCCTAGCCAATACCCTAGCGGACTTGATCATTCATGTTGACTACCACCCCTTCCAACCACAGTTCCTCAATTACAATGACTTCATTCTCCACCTCATTTTTAGTCATACACCTTGGACCTCATCATTTCATGAAACAGTCCCCACTGAAAAATCCCCATCTTCAAATGCCACTGTCTGAGCATAACCTCATATCCTGTACCTCTTTCACTTGTACTAAACCAACTTTTTCTATCCATTGAGATTTCCAGTCCCCACTCTATTGTCCCAATCAATCTCTCCTGTTCTGGCTTCACTTAAGTCATTATTGAACCTGAATCCACTGTAGTGATTCACTAGCTACCATCCTAGAATCCTTCACTTTCCACTTTTGCTGTCACCATGCTTTAATGGCTGTCCATATTTGATTTCTCTAATTCTGCTCCTACACCGCCAAATTCCAATTTTATCTAGGACAACCTGAAGGCCTCACTGCTACTTAGCATTTCTAATACCATACTTTTATTGGTCCCTTATATCATCCCTTACAAGCTACAAACTTTTTCAGTTCCTCTCAAATCATCTAATATGCCCTCACTATCCAAATTCAAAATAGAAAATTTAGCTTACTACTCTGCTAAGAATTTTGAGATCATCCAATTGTGCTCCCTCAACTATCCTCCCCCACTTCCCAAAATTTTTAAACCTCACTACTTCTTTTCCTCCTTTCCTCTAGTCATAGAGGAAGAGATGACCTTACTCCTCAATAAGGCTAATCCAAAGCCTTTAACCCCATCCCTTGCATCTGATACCATTTCTCTTTCCTCCTCTAGAACTTGCTCCAAAAATCATGCCCCCTTTTTAAAATATTTTCAGTCTCCTCCTCTATCCTTCTTCCTTTCCATCTCCCTAAAAACACTTCAGGTTTCCAATACTAAAAAGGCCTATCTTTGATCCTTCCAACCCCTCTGACTACCGTTGCCCCTTCACTGTAAAATTTCTTGGGGAAAAATAATAAAATTGTCCGTGTTTCTACTAATTTAACACTTAAAATCTCCTTAAACTTTTATTATTTAATTTCTGTGCCCCTCCTCATTCTACTGAGACTGTGCTCTCAAAGGTCACCAAAAATCTCTTTAAATGTCAAATGTTGTCTTTGAAGCTCCCTCTCCTTACCCACTCTCTGCGACCTTTCACACGGTCAACAATCCCCTCATGCTTGATAGTCTCTCTTCCTTTCATTTCACATTCTTCTTGCTCCCTAACTTCTTCTTTTGTCCCTTTTGGCGGTTTCTTACTTTCTGGTATTTTAATAAGAAGTGTTTTCCTAGGTTCTGTCTTAAGCTTTTTTTACTTTTCTCTATACTTTCTTCCTTGGAAATATCATTTACTCCTAGAGCTTCAACCTCTAAGCTGAAGACTAAAATCTATGTATATAACCCTGATCTCTCTTCTGAGCCCCAGACTCAGACTCACATTTTCAGCTTTATATAGGACACTTCCACCTCCACGTAAATCAGAACCTGAAACTCATCAAGGCCAAAATAGTCCCTCTTCTCCTTTTGACTTTTTTTTACCCATTTATGCCAATGATATTACTGTTCACTCAATCTCACATGTTTGAAACTTTGGCATTACCCCTTTCTCCTCTCTCACTTCAGACAGTTACCTCCAAACTGCTAACCTCTATGATATATCTCAAATCTATCCCTTCCTTTCTATTCCCATTGCTACCATCTTTTACTATTATACTAGCCTTCCAGCAGGTCTTTCTACTACCTTCATCCTCTCCCCTCTCTGATTTACCTATGATCTATGCTTCTTCCAAACTCATATTCTTTACGGTTAGATAAAATCATGTTATTCTTCTGATCAAAGTTCTTTAGTGGCTCTTCTTTGCTTCAAATTCCTCTACCTTGTATTCAATACCCTTCATACTCCCCTACCTTTCCAATTTTATCTTATCTATTCCTTCCCACAAATTCTACCCACCAGCTAAACTAGATTACTATGTGCCTGCTAAATAAGGACTATACTTTCCTACCTTCTTGTCTTTGCCCATATTATTTCCGATACCTGGGTGTTTCTCCCTTACTATCACTCTTCGAAAATCCAAATCAAATGCTACATTCTCCACGAAAACTTCCCTGAGTTCCCTTCCCCCACCAGGTAGAAATGACCTCCCTTCCCCCAACCTGAGACTTCACAAAGTACTTTGATTTATACTTTTTAAATGCACTTATTATATACCATTTTGCATTTATATTTATTTGGGCAATTGGAAATTAACTGAAAATTTAAAAATAGGAACTAGACAAATTACATTGACACTATAGTTATTTTATCCAAAAATTTAATCAATGGAACTGAATTGCTACAAGAAGGACACTAAAAGAGTCTCAAAAGCAATTTAGAAAAATATCTGAATTATGTGCCAAATAGAGAGATGACTGCCAAAAAACATCAGGTTAAAAAACTCATTTCTGCAATCTGACAAAGAAGGAGGATGAACAATTACAAGCAGTGTTGTTTATAAAAAAATGAGAAGCAATGATGTATAAAACCACACCTTAAAGAAAGCTTGGCAAGATATTCAAATAAACAAAGAAATCTCAAGAGTGTTTAAGGGTGAAAATGGAAGGAGGAGGAATGCAAACAATAAAAATAAAAAATATTTGCAAAAATCATTATAACTAATTTTTTTTTCCATCAAGGACAATATAATCACCACAGTTAGACCCTAACATCATAGTACAGACGAGACAGAAATGGCACTAAAGGGACCAAAACTGGGGAAAAGCAGCCAGATCTGGATCAAGTACATACGGAGAAGAGAGCTGTCCTGGAGGCAACATAATTGTGAAGTCATTGGGAGACCAATATACAAGTTATCTACAAGAGGAGCAGATACCAAACACATGGGAAAAAAATCTCAGACCTTATTAACACCAAAAAATGTGACCAAGAGGATATCAATAACTACCAATCTTTATCCCTACTCTCTCGTCTATACAAAATCTTTACGAGACTTATCTTTTCACAAATAAAGGACATCTTTCCTGAAGTTATTAATAGCGGAAACGCAGGCTTTCACAAGCAATATTCAACAATAGATTGCATAATTAACTGACAGATATAAAGGATATAGGATCCTATTATGCTTATCATTACCTAGAAAAAGCATTTGATTTAGTAGAATAAAATGCTGCTTTATAGCCAATTTTACAACAAAGTATCAAAATCATTCAAGATTCCTTGGAAGATGTAACAATAAAAAAGCCCAGTTCAATGCTCCTCTAACAAACGTGGGAAGGCACAATACAGGGAGACGTATATTCACCAAGTCAAAGAGGGAGCTCCTCTGTGGATAGTGAGACCCTCCAGGTGCTTCTCTTTGCATAGGACATTATGCTGATTATGTCAAGCCCCAGGACATTACAACGCCTCCCAAGAGAAGCTGTTTAATCAAAATCCACACAACAAAGACTAAACAGATCAGCAGTTAATTACTTTTGTGCCATGGATCCCTTTGGCAATCTGGTGAAGCCAATAGACCCCTTTTCAGAATAGTGTTCTTATCTACATAAAATAAACTACAAAGAAGCTAATTACATCAAAACACAGTTATCAAGATTTTTTTTATATTTACATTTTATATTTACAGATCCCAGGTTAAGAACTCCAGAAGCAGCTGGAGAATCAATTGCCCAAATTATAATGTGCATTGGGTGGACAGCCCATAGAGTTTGTTCATCAGGATGTCTGTCATTCAAAAGTATTTAAGTACTTACTATATTCCTAGCACCTGGCTAGGCACTGGGTATATATATATTTTTTTAAAAAAACCCTCATGTGCGTCCCAGCTACATTTCTATCTGGCCCACTCTTTGTGCCCATCCAACCAATGATGAACACCAAAAACAGGGCTAAGAGCTGTCATCAAGGAATTGTATGCTAGGTAGAAAGAGAAGAGGGGTGGGTACATGATGAGAACAAGGGATAAGAGGTGGATAGCCAGGCTCCATTGTTGGCCACATAATGTCAGGAGAAAGATCAGGGATTTAGACTTGAGATTTCATTGGTATAGGGAACTCCCAGAGAGGAAACTCCCTGTACCAAGATAGATTAGCATCTATTTTCTAATTTATAGACTTAGGGAGTTGGGGGTGGGGCAGGGGCCCTGAGTGGTTAAGTGACTTATTCAGAGTCACATAGGGAGTATGTATCAAAAATAATATTTGAACCCAGGTCTTTCTGACTCCAAGACTGGTCTTCTATCCTTAATAATGCACTATCTAGGGGCAGCTAGGTGGCACGGTGGATAGAGCACCGGCCCTGGAGTCAGGAGGACCTGAGTTCAAATCTGACCTCAGACCAAACACTTGACACTTACTAGCTGTGTGAGCCTGGGCAGGTCACTGAACCCCAATTGCCTTAAAAAAAAAAGTCAAAAAAAAATAATGCACTATCTCTCTTATGATCCAAATAAATATGAAAAAATACATTAGACTAAGAGGTTAATAGTAGAGTTATCTAATTCCAAATTAAAATACCTCTGAGGCTTAGCTTGTATTAAATTACTCAGCCTCATTGAGGATCATTTAGCTGGAGAGGCATAACTGGAAAAGAGGTATTTATTAGGAGAAAATTAAAAAAGTAAATCAATACCATTGCTAAATCCCATACAGGTGAGCCAAAAACATTCAGCTGAAAAAAGTGTTATACCTTGAAACAAAGGCAATAGGAATATTGGCTTTTTTTAAAAAGTGTAAAACAACAAATTAAATCATAAAGGAAGAAACCTCAAGTGAGCATTTGGTCTGCCTACTGCCTTCAGGTACATAATGTATTATTTCTTTATAGATGAAACAAAGAGGTAAATAAATTCTGCAAGGTCAACAGCTATGGGCAGAGGGAAGGGGGAGAAAGATTAGATGACAGGTGTACTGATTTCTAGTGCAATGCTGTTTACACCATGAAATGCTGAAACTGGTAGATGGTAGTTGATATTTTCTTTGCCCCTTCCCCACAAAAATTGTTCCAAATATAGTGAGGGAAAAGGCTTATTTTAGGCAATTTAGCAAAACCAAGATATCAACCATGTCTGACATCCAACAGTATGTATGACAGAATAGAAATTCTCAAGTGGCAGGGTTCAGACAGATTTTTCACCATCTTTACCTGACATCCAACAAAGCAGGTAATACATGCAGCATTAGAAAGTCTAGTACCATTCTTTATTATTATTAAAAGGACAAGTGGGAATATAAAGTGGGAAGATAATCAGATTGGATCTCTTTCATAGCTATGCCTAAGGGGAAAATTCTTAACTAAACAAGGGACAGGGGTGATCAAAAAAGATGAAATCAAACATTTTGGTTACCCAAAATTGAAAAGTTTTTTCAAAAACAATTAATGCAAACCAGGACAACTAGGGAAATTGTGAATGGGGTGGGGAAGGGAAGGGAAATCTTTGCATCAAATATTTCTGATAAAGGTCTGATAACCAAGATACATAGGGAACTGACATAAATATATAAGACCAAGAGCCATTCCTTGAAAGATATAAAGATGACAAACCATTAATTACCCTATGAAGGACTGCTTCAAATTACTAATAATTAGAGATAGGCAAATCAAAACAACTCTGAGGTTTCAACTCACACTGAGTAAATTAGCAAGGATGATAAAGATAGGTACTAATCAATACTAGAGGAAAACAGGCACATTAATACACTATAGGTAGAGCTATAAAATTGTCCAACTACTCTGGAAAGCAATGTGGAAATATGTTTTGGACAGTTAGATAATCAAATGGAGAGAACACTGGACTTGGAGCTGGAAAAACATGAGTTCAAATTCTGCCTGAGACACTTACTAGCAAGCTGTAAGTCGTTTTACCTAGCAAGTTGTTTTATTCATCTGCAGAATAGGGATGATGATAGATAGCACCTACCTCACAGAGCTGTTGGTAGGATCAAATGAAATAATTTGTGGAAAGCACTTTGAAAACTTTAAAGTGCTATATAAATGCTGGTTATTATTAAAATTGTTAAATACCTAAAATTTCTATGCCCTTTGACTCAGACATCTCACTGTTAAGATCATACCCCAAAGAAGTCAAAGACAGAAAGAAAAGTCCCATATGCACCAAAATATTCAAAGCGATACCAGTTGTAGCAAAGAACTGGAAACAAAGTAGATGACTAAAGAAATCTTAGTACATGAACGTAATGGAATATTACAGCACCATAAGAAATTATTATTAACTACAGTAGTCTATTTCTTCCTCAATGCAGCTTAATAGTAGTCTTGAATTTCAATATTATGTCAATTCTTGATTATATAAGAATGGAAAACAGGAAAAGAATAGAATATCAAAGCTGGAAGGAACCTTACAGATCTCCTAATCCAAATCCCTCATTTTGCAGATGAAAATAGGAACTATATCTTATCAAAACTTTGCCAAAGGAGTAATATGTTTACATTTAATCTAAAAATGTCACTTTATCCAAAAGTTCCCCCTCCTCTACTTTCCCCTGACTACCATCTAATACAGAATCTTGAGAATCAGACTCTACCAAAAGCTAGTTGGGAGAGAGGAGAATCCTAGAGACTTGAATAATCTATTAAAAATATAACCAGCCCCGAATAATCAAGAATTGACTGTATCTGAAAAGACTAAGGCCACTGAATAAGGCTTAGACCTTCCTCAGTGTTTCACATGTCTATACTTATCATTGACAAATTATAGCATAAGTATGTCTTAAATTTCTTAATTCCTATTACAGAACTAAACAAAAATCACTTACTCTCCTAATTTTGACCAGATTGCCAGGGATACCCTCAGTATGATTTCAGAACCTTCAAAGAAGACAGAATCCCATATCTTTAAAACTGTATGATTAGGGAGGCAGGTGGCAAAGAGGGTCAGGAACCACTGCATGGTGAAGACATTTGTAAGTGGGGGCTCATATCCACCTGGAAGAGGAAAAATTACATTGAGTCTCTTCTGGTTTGATGGCTTAAAGAATATTCACACACATGTACTTTCTACGTCTCTATCTCTTTCCAAAGTTGTAAAAAAAATTTTTTGCTTCTCCCAAATTTCTAAAATGAAATCATGAAATCATATAATTTTAGTGGTGGAAGTGACCTAGTTCAAACTCCTACCTTATATATGAAATTTCTCCCAACTGTAGCCTAAAAAAACAAATTTCTTTTACCAGTTCCCCTCCAAGCCAAAGTGGAAAATTGAGTCAAATGACGTAGAAGAGAAAGTTTCAGTGATACCGAATAACCACCAAGACTTTTTAGTGAAAATATACAGAGAGATACCTATGTATATATGTACACACACACACACACACACATATATACCTTAGAATTTTTTTTAATTCTTAAATTTTCCTCCAGATTTTAATCTAAAGATTATATATCCTGTTTTCAATCATAATTCTAAAATGAGCAGAGGTTAACAATTGTTTAAAAAGCCCAACCCTCTTCCTAAGGCATAGAAGAGGTACTGTCTGTGTGTTGAATAACTTGAGGGGAGGGGGAGACATACATGCTAGTTGCTAACTCTCCCGGCAGATAGCTCATTCTGCTGTTGGCATTTGAACCATGGATTGTTGGTGAAGGTTAGATAGTGGTCATTTTCAAATTGGAAGAATTTATCTTTGCTTGATGGTCTTCCTCCACAAACTGTCTAGTTTCTGATTAAGGGAGAACTCAGAAGGGCTCTCTCAGACCAACATTCATGCCAAAACCCACAGTTAAATAAAAATAAATATATTATTAATTAATACCCGCAGTCAAGAGAAAGAGGTATTTCAATTCCAAGGCATTTCCATTGTAACTTGGTCGTAAAATAGATTCTTTGACATCTCTGTGGCTTTTAAAAGCATATTGTTGTTTGTTGTTCAGTTGTGTCTAACTCTTTGTGACCACGTGGACCATACTGTCCAGGGGGTTTTCTTGGCAAAGTTACTAGAGTGGTTTGCCATTTCCTTCTCAAATGGATTAAGGTAAACTTGCTGTTTGTCTTTCATTCTCAAAGAAGACCATGACATCAGGGAGGTGATGCCATGACACGCAAGTGAATTGGATTTAAGTGAGGGAGGGTTGTGCAAAGTCACCAGCCTCACTTTCACCTCTGGAGCCATCTGGATCCAGTGGCCAGATACGGACAACCACAGATGGCCCAGGATGCAGTGGGGGACTTTGGCCTTTTCAAGCTAAGATCTCTAATAGCTAAGTCTTTATTTTTATTAAGCCTTTTTTTATTAAGGCAAACAGTGGTTAAGTGACTTTCCCAGGGTCACACAGCTAGTAGGTGTCTGAGGCCAGATTTGAACTCAGGTCTTCCTGACCCAGAGCTGTATCCACTGAGCCACCTACCTGCTTCCCATACAAAACAGCAATTCATACTGAATGAAAATGAATAAGAGCTACTCTAAGTTTGGTGTCAATTTGGACACCAAAAAGTTTCACAATTAATAAAAGATGAATTTAATAGATATATCATTGAAAGGATGAAGCCAATGACACCATTATTTCTCAGGTTTGCTGAGTTGTTCTTTTTTTTTTTTTTTAACACTGAAGATGTGTTGCATTTATTCTTCCCCAGCATCTCCTCTCCATTTGTGAGTTTACTATTTAAAATTCAATAAACAACATTCTTGTTAAGTGCCTACTACGTGCTAGGGATTGCACTAAGCATTAGACATACAGAGGCAAAAATAAAAATAGTACCTCCCGTCAAGGAATTTACACTCTACTGGGGAATACAACATATAGACAGAATAACAAATACAGGATAATTTGAAGTTGGGGTGACATCTGTACACACAGACCCAAAAGGCCCATATAAGGGCAATTGTTGTAATGGACTTGGCCAATATAATCAGAGGGACAAGACATCTGGGGACGGTCTTGGCCTTTACCTCCTCCTTCCCTGTTTGAAGCTCTCTGAAGAGTATCCAGGTGCTGAGATAATTCAGGAAGTTTCATTCTCAAGAGATCTCTGAAGACTGCCATATCCACAGACAATGCCCGAAGATTATTAACAAAGTAGCTTTCTGGAAGTACCTTATCAATGAGGTAAATCATGATCTGAAGAAAAATAAAAAGAACTTGATTATCAGACATCCTAGCATCTCTTCCTGCTCAGAGGAAATGAAAATATTCCAGTTGCAATGGCACCGCTAGCCAAAGTCATGTATCCCTTTGTGGACGATACTTCAATTCCAAATGCTCCACATTTTCCAGAAGTGATTTACATATACAATAACCAAACACAAACATAATTATCCAGATAATTAAAATCAAACTAATGTGCTGCTCTCTCAGCTCTTTATACAGGCCACTGAATCTGAACGCACATAAAAATTAGCTACAATTTATAAAACACTCTGCTCCACTTTGACTAAAAGAAACGACCACGTGTTCCTCTCTCAGTAGCCCTTGCAGAAAGCTGTTTTTTCTGATACTATCCCCCAAAATAGGTTTCAAGATTTACTCACCCAACTACAAGGGACTCTGGATTTTAGTACCACTGTGCATAACTATTTCCCTTCCACTGTGGTTTGAAATGGGATTTCATCTTTGTTACCAACCAATTTGGTGTTTATCAAGCTTAGTCGATCCCCTTCTGAATATCTTTTTTTTTTATCTGAACTTCATCAAGACAAGATACAGACTTCTCACATGAGCGATTTCAACTTTAACTTCTTTTGAAACACTCTCCATCATATTTGGTAAGATATAAGCAATTTCTAGCAAGTCCTAGCAAAAACCCTCAGTACCCTATAATTTTGCCTTTTCTGTCACTTATTGTCTCCTTTGCACTTGCCTATACATTATGATTCATTAAATATAAACACATAGTGTTTTTGGAAAAAAGGGGGAGTTGCAAGGAGTTTTCCATTTATTATCTCACTTAATCCTCACAACCTTTGAAAATTATACAGGTATGTACAGATAAGGAAACAGAGTCAGAGGAACTGCCACACACCTCATAAGTGTCTAAAGCTGAAGTGAATCCATCTATTATGATACATAAGGCTTCATACAATTCTGTTTTCCCTTAAAATAAATAATAACCAAAGATAAACAGAAACACCAACTTGCCAAGAGACTAAATTCTCACCATTGAAGTGATTATTTTTAATATGACAAATAGGAAAGAGGAGTGGCAAAGTATAATGAAGGCACTGCTAAAATGAACATATGTCCTTGGAAATAGGAAAACAGGCTCAGATTCTTATAATCTAGCCAATGCTCAGATTTTTAAAATCTGGCCCACTTGCATTAGCAATACAAATGCTTAGATTCCTTAAGAGTCTGGCCAATATGATGGATCTTTAATAAACTTTGTCTTTGGCTGAAAAAAAAAAAAACAGACCTTGAAAAGGTCTCTTCTTTAGCATTTTCCACTAGAATAGATTAAGCCATTATAGAAAGTTATTGTCCCCTTGTAAGAGACAAGGGCAACTGTCCCTAGTGACTTGAAATAAAGGAAGAGTAATTTCAGTGAAGGATACATGGTGGTGAAAAGCTGGACTGAAGCCTGAGATGACTTGGAGGAAAACCAACCTAAATGGGATCCTCCTGCAGAGAATTTAGGCTCTAGGCTGGGAGGAGGGATGTGAAGGTACCAGGATAAGAGTACAAGTCCCAGTTGATGGGACTCCAGGGAAGCCACTGGGTGATATAGATAAACTTTGACTAGCATCATCCCTGAACATTACAAAAACTTTTGAACACATGGAACTTACAGAATCATCAATTTAGAGCTGAATGGACCTTAAAGATAATCTAGTCCAATCCCTGCATTTTATAGATGAGTAAACTGAAACTTAGATAGGTTAAATAATTGCCAGGGTCATACAACTACTAAGTGTCAGAGGTGGTCTCCCTGGGTTCAGGAAGACTCATTTTCCTGAATTCAAATCTGGCCTCAGACTAGCTGTGTGATCCTGGGCAATTCACTTAACCCTGTCTGATTCCATTTCCTCATTTGTAAAATGAGCTGAAGAAGGAAATGGCAAACCACTCCATTATCTCTGCCAAGAAAACCCTAAATGGGGTCACGAAGAGTCAAACACAACTGAAACAACTGAACAACTTCCTGGTTTCAAGTCCAATTAAATTTATTATATTACAGTGCCTTTCAGTCTTTTTTCCTTCTAAACAGCAACTTCCATGCTAACTGCTGGGTCTGGATGGTTTTAGATTTACTCTTGGTAGACAGGAAGACCTGGATTCAAGTTCACCTCCCTGTAACACGTACTAGCTGTGTGACCTTGGACAGGGCACTTCAGTCACAGAGCACTTAGAGACTCTACATGACTTCAGTCTCAGAGGAAGTGCTCGGTTGCACTGCTAGAGAGAGTTTCATTATGAAGAATTCCTTATACCAATGATTCACACGTCAAAACATATATATATGTACACACATCTGTATGTGTGTATATTTATTATATATGGTGTATATATACACATACAGTTATTTATCTATAAGATATATATATAATATATATATAAATTCAAGGCGTTGTTTGGTTTACCAACTTGATTCTCCTCATTCTTATAATAAAATGGAATTTCTTACTTAGATATCTTAAGGGAGAATATGATGATAACTTTAGAAGTACAATACTTGGTTGGCACACTTATTGTCACACTGAACCAGAAAGTCTTAATATATGAACTATGGTATCAATGTTAAATAAAGATTTTCACAAAGGAAATTGACCCCAATTGTTCCTAGCAGTTATGCCAAAAATAAACAGTAACACAAAGCTGAAATCTTGCACCAGCAGCTGAAAAAAAATTAAGTTGGTACTCATCCAATAAACTTACCTTTACCTGGCAACTGCTATAAGAAGATAAATATACATTTTAAAGGCAAATTAGCACTTGCTAAAAAAAAAAAAAACAACCTATATGCATCCACTTTTTTTCCTCAGAAGTCTTTTTGCAAGAATAATTTCCAAACTGTATATTAAATCTCTGGTCACAAGGTCCATACAGACCTAAGGACTTAGAACATTTTCTCTCAGTATATGTCATGTATTTCCTTTGAGAGAAAAAAGTAAAAATATACTCAGTTTCTCAAATTTATCTAGTTCATCTCTACATATGTGAGTTTGGGTCTTCAAATCATAGAACCCCAAGTTTAAAACTGTAAGGAACCTTCAAGGTCATCTAGGCCAACCTACACTTTTTACAGATAAGCAAACTACGTCCGGAGAAGTTAAGTGATTTTCGCAAGAGCTCATAAGCAGTCTATGAAGCCAGGTGCTCTGACTTTATTCTAAGTTCCCACCTGCACCAGGCTACTGAATAGCATAACACGGATAATATTTCATAAAATGATTGGAACCAGGAATGTGTTGGTTCAACAACTGATTCTCTGAGAAAACACACACACACACACACTCACGACACACTCTTAAGTTTAATCTGTATTATTAACATTCTTTCCATCACCCGTAGATAATCAACAAAACAGTAAGTCAAGGCCCAGCTTGTAGAGTTTGCAGATTTCCAAGGTATAAATGGTCACACTGAAAACTTAACAATCAGGGGCACCTAGGTGGCGCAGTGGATAGAGCACCAGCCCTGAAGTCAGGAGGACCTGAGTTCAAATCCAGTCTCAGATCAAACACTTGACACTTACTAGCTGTGTGACCCTGGCAAGCCACTTAACCCCAATTGCCTTCCAAAAAAAAAAATTTAACAATCCCTTGCAATTTGAGTAAACCCCAGCACACCTCTGATTGAAACACACTTTCTTATTTTGTTTCCATTGCAACTTATGTTCTGCTCCCTCTCACCCTCAGGCATCCTATTTTGCATTGTTCTAAATCTCTCCTAACCCTTAAAATGAGTAGCTCTCATTCTGCAGGCACAGAAATATACCCATTGATAAACAAAAATATAACGCTGATAAACAAAAGAGGATCTGAATAAGCATAACTGCTAAATTAAAATGTTTTAAACTCAGATATCTGACTTGTTACTGTTCCATTTTTTTTTAATAAGTGAAGGAAATTACTTCAAAGTTCTTTCCTTAAATGATCAGACAAAACAATATGTTTTACTCATGTAACCTGAATATAAATCTAAATGTTAGGCAGTCAATTGTTAACACCAATATGACACGCATGGTGCTAGCAGGAATATGTGGTAACCTTACACATAATATTCATTCATAATTGAAAATATCACTCGGCTATTGGTTTCCATCTAAGACTATTATTCCCAGTGACTACTTTTTGAGTAAGCATCCCTCATTTCATAAAAAACAAATGTCAAAATCAGAAAAAGTTTGAAAGATTTGACCATTCATTAGCAAACCCACGAGAATATAAATAAGCAGATGAATCAATGATTGAATGAATGAATGAACAAATAAATAAACCAGGCAGCTGCCATCTCTACCTCTGAAGTGTTTCACTTTTCATGAACAAACTGCACTGCCAACGAGTTACTAACAACATCAATACACCCAAATTGCTAGAGCTACTTCTACACTGTGACCAAAAAACTGCTCAAAATCTTCTCAGCATTCTCTCAAACAAATGCAACATTTGGTTTTCAATAACTAAAAAAAATTACAAAACGTTTCTTCTGTACATAGACATTCACTTCCAAGCTTTTTTCCTAGGCAAGTTCAACCCCTCCATCCCATCCAAAAAGAAAAAAAAAATTACACCAAAGGTTCTAGGAAATCCAACCAGATTTTGTCACATACTACTGCTCCATTCTCTCAAGGATGGATTTCCCCACAGGTAGAGAGACTCACTTTCAGTGCATCTCCTTCATTGCCTTCCATCACTTCTAGAATAAGCGCAGCCAGGATGTTAAAGCCTTGGCAGTATCCAACAGACTTGTTCCATCGGGCATAGGCCAGCAGAACTCTCTTTAACACCACTCGGTCTTGTTCTGCCTCCTGGCCACAGTACGAGCTGCAGCCTGTTCGGTGAAGATCCTAAAAGGTGGGGGAGGGAAAGGTTGGAAGGGAGAGAACAAGGCAGACAATTTAACATAATCTTACAGATAGTTTCTCCAAAAGCTATTAGTCTGCCAAAATATTTACCAAGCTACCAAACTGTGGCCAGCTACTTCCACATTTAGCAGGATTTCAGCAATGAGATGGATAGATAGACAGACAGACAGATAGATACTTTATGACCCCCCCCAAAAAAAACCCTTGACATTACTGTGGTCTCTATTCCACTTTTACAGTTTGATTTCATTCAGGTATAACCTAATTTCTTTTGGAGTATGTATTTATATATAAACTTTTACACATTATAATTGATTTTTTTCCTTAATTTGAAAAAATCTTTTGAATTTGATTGGTCTTAACAAATATGAACATTTCCATTACAAAGAACAGAACTAGGAAATTGAATATAAAATCATGACTCAGGAATAGCTTGGTTTTATTTTTAACTATGTAATAAATTTAAATGGTAGTAGCTACACTGTCCTACTTAGCTATGTCGCCTTCTGAACCTCCTTTTCCTCTTGTTTACTTTTTTTAAATTATTCATTGATGCTCTTTTCTTCTGATTTGGGATTTTTTTTTGGAGGGGGCTTGGCTACCACTATCATTATCCTCCCATTATTCTTCTCTCTGCCTCTGTTTCCATCACCATCAAATAAAAGGCCTCCTTGGAACCAATAAGAATATTCAAGCAAATCAAATTTACATATTGGGTGCATCATTTTTTTTGATGGAATTATCTTCTCTTTCTATGATTTATTCCTTGACCCACACCATCTTTAGTATTAAAGCATTTAGTCTTCCCTTAAGCTTGAATCTTCTCTTTAAATGCCCTTTCCTGATTATAATTTTAGTTTTGTTGGAATGTCAGTAAAGGAGGTATTTAACATTTCTGCTTTTCTACAGTTGTTTATGGGGATTTCATATCCTAGAATCAGGTCAGTTTTTATAAAAGTGCTATAAACAGATATAAAATATGCATACATCTTTATGTTCCCATTTATTAATTACCATAAACATCAATTATCATAAACAACTATTCTAAAATTCTATTCACTTGTTTCTTGTTGTTGTTGTTGAATTTGTCTTATTCTGAATAAGGCACACTGATATCTGCAATAATTTTACTGTCTATTTCTTCCTTTAATTTGATTAAGTTTTCTTCCAAATACATAAATGGTATGCCATTTGGTTTATGTTTATTAAATATTGATACTATTTAATTATTCATGATGCCTTTAAGCAATAATGTATTTTCTCTTAAATACAAGATATATATTTTTACTGCTAGTTTGTCTAAGATCATGACTGTTTTTTATTTTTTAAATTTACCTGAAGCATATCTGCTTCAGACCCTGATCTTAACTCAGCAACAGCAGAAATAGGATAGAACCAAGCTGTCTCTGTCTCCTGCTGGGACTCTGAATGTTCAGAGGCATGTACTACATCATTCTGAGTTCTTTCACAGTGATCTATGGAGGCTAACACTGTCCCTGACTGCTGCTCAGGCAGGCAGTGGATGAGATTCCTATGGTTTCAGGCCCAAACTATACCAGAATTGGCTTCCCTCTCCTCTGTTGTGTCCCAACTCAAATGGCCTTTAAGCTTCTGGCCCCTTCCCTTCAGTATTACTATTATAAGTGTTGGAAGAATAAATAAATGAATGAATGAATGAATTAAAAAGCATTTGTCAGGCACTTAGTAAGTGCAAAGCACTTTGCTAAATACTAGATATGCAAACAGAAAACCAACATGATGCCATGCCATCAAGGAGTTTATATTCTAACAGAAAAAGATAACAAAATGTAGAAGGCTTAGGTTGCAAGTCAAACAGAAAGGCCCAGTGGGCCTGACAGTCCAGTAGCAAAGCAGATAGTAACGTACATAAAACCCTATCTGTTTCTAATGTTGAAGCATGAGACAGGGCCAAGGACTTTGAGGGTAAGAACTTTTCTTTCTTGTCTGGCAATGTCTGGCATATAACAGACACTGAAAAAATCTTTGTTGATTGATTGGTGGGACCAGCAGCATTTACAGAGGCAGTTGCCAGGTCAGCATTCACAAGAGTTGCTCCCTTAAATAATGGCTGTGAGGACTGGGCTGGAAATAGGGCCAGCCAAAGATCTGTAGAGTATTGCTATGACTAGGGGTCTTTGGATTATTTGTCCATTACTGGAAGTTGGCTGGCTGGTGATGGCCCTGGTGGTGGTAGTGGTGGTGGTGGTAAAGGCTAGGATGTTAAGTCCCAACTTTACAGGAGTTGTTGCTTCCTGAACAAGGGCCATAAAATGAGAATAGCCAGGCTGAATGCAGCATTGGTAGTTTTTTATATAGATATGGATCTGTATGCTTTTACCGCTATGCTTCAGACAAATTTTTTGGATAGGATGGATATTAAAATTTTTTCCATTCTACTAAATTTAGACTAAAGTTAAGTACCAGTCCTCCAAATAAGCAATTGTTCTAAAAGACCATAAGAAGAGGATGAAAAATAGAGTCTTCATGTTAGGTACCCTCTTGGAGAGAAAAAGGCATTATATTCATTATCATTTGAGCATAGATGGAAGAAATATTTGCTTCACATTTTATTTTTAATTTATTTTAATAAAGGTAATATTTATGATTGTTACTATGTAGAGAGTGTGTTTTCATGATATTATTTAGGAACTGAGACAGTTTTATGCATACATTCTAACACCAAAATTCTTTTGTAAAATGAGTAATATTTTAACTTATAAGTCAAGCAAAAAGAAAGCAGCTTATCTCTGTCCTGCAAGCTTTCTAGCTTCAAAGCACAGTTGAATCATGCATAATGTATATGGTTCTTTTTAAATCACACAATTCAATGTAAATGTCATCAATGATTAATTTAGGATTCTGTCTGGCACAGAACAAATATTCCTCTGGATGTAAGTGTGCCAACAAATATAAGTCAGAGAGTGGTAGATTTATTTCCACTGTTACTGCCTACTTATGAGAAAGCATATACATACGTGTATGTGTGTGTATGTGTATCAAAGCTATATTCAACTTCTAGAGCCAAAAGACCCCAACAAAAACATTAATATTAATTCCAACATAACCTTGAATTCAAAGATTACCTAATTCTTACAGTTTTAGTTGCTGCCCTTCATATGTAAAGATTATGCGTTTGGCCCGCCCATTATCAGAAGAAAATACTTGTTGTGGTTCAGTCATTTCAGTCATGTCTGATTCTTCATGACCCCATTTAGGGTTTTCTTGGCAAAAATATTGGAGTAATTTGCCATTTCCTTCTCCAGTTCATTTCAGAGATGAAAAAACTGAGGTAAACAGGGCTAAGTGACTTGTTCAGGGTCATATAGCTGGTAAGTGTCCGAAGTCACATTTGAACTCACATCTTCCTGACTCCAAGCTCAGCATTCTATCCTTTGATCCACCTAACAGCTCCTGAAGAAAATATTACTTGAATTTTTTTTTCAGTATTGAATATGTAGTTGGATTTGTGTTGATCTACTCAACCATACCCTTCTAACTGGTCCTTCCTGTCCCCCACATTGCTTCCCAGCTCCTGGGAATCAATTATCTTTCTTTTTCCAGCAAAGGTAACCAGGGGAACATTGAAGTAAATCTAAAGTTAATTGGTCCAACCAAAATACAACCAATGACCTTGGCTGTATTAGCACCTTACTATGCTAACTATAGTTAACTAGGCTAACTCAGCCAGACAAATATAGTTGCCTAAACATCTATCTTAGACCATTTAAGCCTAATATCCTATTCAATAACCTTATTAGCATACTTCAAACTTTTTAAAAGCAAAAATAATCTAATGAAAGCCACTTCACTTTAAAGTAACTCTCTTTTGAAACTTCCAATGCTGGATTTCACAATCAGTCAAAAATTTACTTGGTGAACACATTGTGGAGATAAAGGATTGTCAAACAACCCATCCTCCTCTCCAGAAAGAAAATAATTTCACTGTAAGTTGGTGATAATCCATAAGGACTTATTAACGGTAGCATTTTCAAAGACTAGGTATAGACAGTGTTTTACATAAGAAATGCTGGCAACAAAGAAATTTTTAGGCTACACAGGAATAAAGGAGCAATTCATGAGGCATTCACCCACTAAGTCATCAAATCTGTTCAGGCAAAGGGTTCAGTCATCTATTTTACCACTGCCATTAGGACAGTTCACTGTATGTTTTTTAGGGCAATTACCTTTACTATCTGAATTCCCATGGAATCATCATCAGGGTTACTTCTTTCATTAAAAGTGAAGCGCATGGTTTTATCCCAATCAATGGCTATACTGTGCAAGTAGTGGTCTGCCAAGGTCAACCAAACCTAGGAAAAATGCAATATATCCAAGTAAAACATGCAGTTTCTACTTTTACTCCTGAATATCACACAAGAACTTTCTACTCGATTCTTCATTTTGTTTACCCTACTTAGGGAGGTGAGATATAACTTGAAACCTGCATTATTATCAGAACTCTTTCAAAGTATGTAGGTACCTCCTTTGGTTTTACTAGCCCTAAAAAAATCATCTAAATTTGGGTTAGTCATTCAGTCAATAAATACTTATTAAGTGCCTACTATGTGCCAGGACCTGTGTCAAGTTCTGGGGATGCAAAAGGGGACAAAAGACAGTTTCTGCCCTCAAGGAGCTCACAATATAATGTGGGAGAAAACAAGCAAACAAACATATACAAACAAGCTATATGTAGGGATAATGGGAAATAATTAAAAGAAGGAAGGCATTAGAATTAAGAAGTATTGGGAATGGCTTCCTGTAGCTGGGGCTTTAAGGAAGCCAGAAAAGTCAGTAGACAAAGATAAGGGAGGAGAGCATTCCAGGCTCCGGGACAGGTAGAGAGAAACCCGGAGCCCAGAGACAGAATGTCTTGTTTGGGGAACAACAAAAGAGGCCAGTGTCACTGAATCAGAGTATATGCTAGGGATTCATTCCCAGAGAAGCAGATCTAACTCAAGTGGAAAGTTTTCTATGTCTGGACCATAATATAGATGTAACTAAAATTATAGAACATCAGGGTTGGAAGAAACCTTAGTGATCACAAGCTCCTCATTACAGATGAGGAAACCAAGTATGATAGTGGGTATGCAATGTCCAGAGGGCAAAGTGAGTTTAGAGGTAGTACCAGGGCTAGAATTCACTTTCTAAATCCATACTCTTTTATCTACACTGTCCTCACCACTATCTCCTGACAGAAAGTTTTATCAACAGCTGACCGATAGTACTAGATTTTTCCGCCTTAGACTACCTAAGCACTTGAAATTTTTATTCTTCTCCATATATAATTTTCACAGTTATTCCTTTCATGGTAAACTTCTATATGTTCAAATTTTAAGTATTAAAGTTAAATTTATAACAAGCTAATGCTCCACATATGGTGAGTATGAACTGGCAACAACAAATTACCAATAATGACATATACAAGAAATGCAATGAATGACATCTTAAAAGTTGGAAGAGGCGGTAAGCCAGTCATATAATGAGAGGGAAGGATAATAAACGGATAGCCCAAATGTTACAATGGTATCCACAAAATACTAAAAGACCTAGAGGAAGGCTTCCAGGATGATGTATAGATTCCCTTTGAGGATTTATGGAAGGACAAGAAAAAGAATCAAACAGGAATAAAAGCTAAACATGGGATTGAGGACTGTACAAGTATAAGAAATAACTACATCAGCGAGATCATAGATCGACCAATGTAAAATGTTCTAAAAGAGTTAGTTAAAGCAACTGGAGAGTGTGTCTTCTGGCAGCAGAAAAGAGAGCCAGCTGCAAACTCAAAAGAAAGTTAGCTTGTCGTGGTGGTGTTTGTCCTTCATTCTCAAAGAGGACCATGACATCAGGGAAATGATGACATGACTTGCAATTGACTTTGATTTGAGTGAGGGAGGGTTGTGCAAAGTCACTAGCCTCACTTTCTCCTCCAGAGCCTTCCGGGTCCGGTGGCCAGATATTCCTCAGGACAACTGGTGAAGGCTCAGGATGCAATAGGGGACCCTGCCCCTTTTAAACGAAGGTTTTTTCAGGTTCTCACTTAGAGACAGGCAATGCCCATTCAGTTAATAGGCCTCTTTAAGAAGTGAATCAAGGCATGGCCCCTTTAATAAAAAAAAAAATCAAATCAAAGTAGGAGGTGAAGACCCTCAGAGTTAGCCCTAGCAATTGGGAGTCGAAATGAAGATACCAAAAGACATCATGCTAGGGGCATAAGTTGCCTTGGCCATGTGTGTATCTCACTGCCAGAGTATTTTGTTTGTGTCCATTCTTCCTGCTAATGATGTGTGTATTTGTGAGAGGGTGTGTTCCAGGTTTATAGGAGAAATGTTTTATTATTTTATGGCACCATCCCAATAAATCACCTCGTTTGGAGTTTGTTTATTTTTTTTAAAAAGGTTACAAAAGAACCTTTTCAGTTCTATGGGAACCCAGATTATATATAAGGATATATACATGGATATATAAGGGAGAAAGTCTTAAGCTGCTGAGCTAGAATTTGCTTTTGGAAATCCTAGGAATTTCAAAATCCCCTTTGAAAAAGGAACATAGAAGGGGCAGCTAGGTGGCACAGTGGATAGAGCACTGGCCCTGGACTCAGGAGGACCTGAGTTCAAATCAGGCCTCAAACACATAACACTTACTGACTGTGTGACCCTGGGCAAGTCACTTAACCCCATTGCCTAACCAAAAAAAAAAAAGAGAGAGAGAGAAAGAAAGAAAGAAAGAAAAAAAGAAAAGGAACATAGTGATAATTTTTTTAAATCTTCTTCATACCTTTCTCCTCCATTCCTTTGGTATTCCAGTTGAAAGTCTGGCTACAGCCTTGAGAGCATCATACCACTAGAAACAGGGGAGATTAGAAGAACATCAAAATGGACCTACCATAGAAACATATATGTGTATAGACAATGTGTGTATGTATGTGTATTTATGTTATATACAAGAAAATACATTTTCTTCTGTTTTATCAGTGAATAATTTTACAACTGATCACTTATAAGAAGAACATAAAGATAGGAAAATTTATAAAGATAAAATTTGCTATGTATATATTCATCTGGTCACTTCAACTTTACTGACAAACTGAAATGCTGGTACATATATGTATATACACAGAGAGAGACAAAGGCAGAAACAACAACACAGAAAAAAAGAGACAGAGAGAAAAACAGAGGGAGAGACAGAGACAGAGAAAAATGGAAAGAGTGATAGAGACAGAGAAAGACAAACAGAGACATAGAGAGAGAGCAAATACTCAAAACTATTGAATTTTGGGATGTGTGTGTATACATACACACATACAGAGTGTCTAAAAATTCTTACTGCAGTTCTAGGCAATGAAACTATTAGAGCTTGAAACTGCACAAGACATTTAGGACTCTTGTATATGTGAGTAGCAACTAATAGTCTAACTTTGAGATGTCCCTGCATATAGTTTCAGATACTCTGAAAATAAGATCATAACACTTTATAAACAAATATCTTACAATATTACCTGCTGAAAACCATTTTGACCTAAAGATGGCTCAAGAGTGAACTTCAACTTCGTGTCAACCCCTAGAAGAAAAATACATGCTTTATATTATTTATGGAAGGAGACATCAGAGTTCATTGAAAAGATTTCAAATGGAAATTGAACTCATGCTACAGAATAATTATCAAATGATCAAGTAATGGTATCGCTTTTGTCTAAATTATTCTCATCAATGCCCACTGAAGGTACCTGGTATTAGAAGTAAAAATGAGAAGAACAATTTTGATGATTAAAACAGGACAGTATTCACAGGCTTTACTAACATAATTTTTTATATTAATTTATTTTTAGTTTTCAACATTCACTTCCATAAGCTTTTGAGTTTTAAATTTTCTCTCCTTCCCTTCTCACCTCCCTCCCCAAGATGGCATGCAATCTAATATAGGCTCTACATATACATTCCTATTAAACATATTTTCACATTAGTAAACAACTTAATTTTTTTAAAGCCTGGCCTAGAAGAACAAATGAACAAATTCTAGCTGAATTGTGAAAAGCTGCAGTGATGATACCATCCTCCCCTCTGTGAAATGTTCCATTACATCATGTTATTCTAACATGCTAAAAAAAATCTGCATTGACAGCCTTGTTTTTTTTTTTTCAGATAATTAGTTAATTGTTGCAGGTAAAAAGCTCAAAGGACTGAATTTTAATTTCAGCTGATGGATGAACTTTGATATAGCACTCTACCTCAGTTTCTATAACTAAGGGCTATGTAGAGAGATAATACAATGGAAGAAGGTGTGGACGTTAAATTTGTAATATTTGTTTAGAACTTTAAATATGCAAATCCTATACTAAAGTATGTATTATTGTGATTGAAATGAATTTCTAAAGTATAACTTAAGGAAAAGTTTATTAAAATATAATATCAAATCTGAAGGCTGTTTTATAGTCCATTTACTTCTAGATGTAAAATCAATTTCCAAACAACTTAGTAGTGCTCCATTTTAATCAGTTTTTAAAAGACACTCCATTTGGGAATTTGAAGATAAAATGGAAAAAGATCTATTGATGTATGTATTTAATGTTAACAGCAATGTTCATTTTGGCAAATTGAAAACCAATTAAGCGGTGGCATTTTGAAATTCTGAACTCCTGATTGCCATGTATTTTTGGGAACAACTTTCCACATTAGCTTCAGTAATTTGTGGCTAGGGATGGCTCTCTTGATTTATTGGAGATCCTCCTTCAGTGGCCTATCTTAAGCAAAAAAAAAAAGATATGAATATCTACATAGACGAATAATAAGGGAAAAAACACATCAGATTTATCCCAAGTCCAGTATGGTTCCACCTTGCAACCTTGGAGTATTTGTGTATATAAATCAAAGAATCATAGAGCTGGAAGCAATCTGAGAGGCCATTTAATCCAACCTACATCCAAACAAAAATACTTTCTAATAATATGCCTCACAAGCATCCAGACTTTATTTGAAGGCTTCTAAGAAGGGGGAATGAACTACCCTCTAAAGAAGACTATTTCACTTTTGGATACTTTGATTGTTCAGAAGTTTTGCCTTACATCAAGCTCAAATTTCTACTTGGCACTAAGATTATCTCAAGTGGTTTGTGTAGAACACTACAGACTACATTGACATTCATTTTTCAAGACATCTATGCTGGTCATCCTATAGGCCAGGGTAGAGGTTCTTAACCTGGGTTTTTTTTTTAATTTGATAATTGCATTTCAATATAATTACTCTTCTTTGTAACCCTATTTGTTTTATTTTATGTATTTAAAAACATTATTCTGAGAAGGGGTCCATAAACTTCACCAGATTGCCAAGGAGGTCCATGATACAAAAACAAAAAAGGTTAAGGAGTCTTGCTTTACATAAGGAGAAAGAGCACTGGGCTTAGGGTCAGGAGACTTCTGTTAGAGAAACACATACACACACACATACATACATGTACACCCCACTTATAGGATCATAGATCATGGTAGAAAGGACTTCAGTGACCATCTAGTCCAGTCATTTTACACTGAGGAAACCGAAGCCCAGTATTTTATTATAAATCAGTAATTTATTCAACGTCACAGAGGTCAGGTCAGAGGCAGAAACATATCTGAACCCAGGCCCTCTGTCTCCACAGTCAATGCTCTTTTTATTATATAACACAGCCTCCCTTTACTGCCTATGTGTCTCTGGGAATCACATTCAACATCTCTTATATCACATCTATAAAATGAGAGAACTGTACTGAGTGGCCTCACTCAGGTACTTTCCAGCTCTAAAAAAAGTATGTTTCTATGCTTACATATCAGTTCTGAAGGATTCAGCGAGTACTATACTGAAGGAGATTATGAAATTTTCGTCTTTAAAAAGTTGTTCTTCTTTTAAAATGTAGTTTTAGTTGGGTGGCTTCTCATCTATTATGAATGGCTAGAATTTGATTCTGCCTAAGGCATGGATAACCAGTCTTCCCAAAATCCTTCTCAAATAGAATTCTAAGGCACAATGTTTGGTGCTGTCCAAACCCTAGGTGCTGAATGGAGACGTGTTGCTCTAGTCATTCACCCAGCTTATTATGAAGATGAAGAAATACAAGTCTCAAATTGCTCCTCTTACTAACTCCATTGAGACACAGGTTCCCTTTTGGAACCACTGACATATGTTGTCCTTAATATTTTGGAGAAGACAGGGGCATTGCTAGATAGATGTACTTTTGCCAGAAAAAAAAAGTTTATTTCCTTTTTACACTGAAATCAAGCGGGGAATAGGAATCACTACAATTAAAGCCCAAACAGTTTTCTCCCATGCCAAAAAAAAAAAAAAATGGGTCAGAGAGGGTTTAGCTGAGAAGCTACAGTTCACAGTCTGCACCAGGTGCTGAAATCAGGTCATTTTCGACTTTATTCCCCCCTCCTAGAAGAGAAAAGATTTGTGTTTCACCTGGTAGTCTCTGCTGTTTCTTCCTGAGAAAAAACAAAATATTTACCTTTAATGAAAGAAGAAAGTTTTTAAAATAAATAAATAAATATGGGAACATTCACACACCCACACGCTTGGAAAGAGAAACAAAGAAACCACGAGGTTTGGAAAGAGCTCTTCCTCCATCACTGTAATTCAGACATATAGTTTACACCACTCCGTATCTGGTGTTGGGGTTAACAGTATGTCCACAACTACGAAAGTGCCCTCAAGCAAGGATTCTCTGAGATTCTGGAGAGACATACATACTGGTGTGTTTCAAGGAACGACAGCTTAATGAGGCTAGGCTCCAGGGGCAGGTGATTTGAAATTCACCTTCTGGTGTCCACCAGCCACCCACAGCCTACCATGAGCTTAGCCCAGGGTAGGTTGGATGTTCTAAAGAAGGAGGAGCTCTGCCACCCTGAATTGTATATCTCCAGGAAGCATGTATTGTATGCACATTGTTTACATACACACCCAGCTTGGGGAAAGGGCTTAGTAGGGATGTAGCCAGAATAACTCTGCAACTCCTGTTGAGCTTCCCAAGACCCCTTACAAAGGACCTCCTGCCCATATAGACCAGTCCCCTGAATGGGAGGAGAAGACAGACTAGTCTGATCAGGCACTCACATAGCTGGAAGCCTTAGGGAAATACTCCCGTCTTTTTCCCAAAGATTCTCTTCCTACCTGTCCCGTAGCACCAAACCAGTGCCTAAATCTCCCTCACTCTTTCTTCCCCCAAGCTGCCTGGACCCCGAACTCCTGCCCCTCGGGACTCCAGGTATTTGTGAAGCAGAAGGAGCAAAGTAGGGGCTCGGGTTTCTAAGCTTAGCAACAAACCAACAGTCTTCCTTGTCACCTACACTGAGACCAAATGTGCCTAGCCCAGGGTTATCAGGTAGGGGAAAGAGAGGAGGTAAAGGAGGCGGAAACCCAGCCCATTCCTGTGCCCAACATTCAGGGAAGAGCATGACCAGAAACAGTGGCCCAGTCAGGCACCCATCTTTCTCACTCATGAGGCTGGTGGATGGGCTAGACAGCCACTCCTGTCCAGGCCTTTGTGCACTGTCCCCCACCCCGCCTGTGGCCAAGCCCTGCACCTTCCCTCCCCCAGAGAGGGATTCAGTCGCTGAAGGCTGCACCATCCTAAATGCTCCCACTCAGTTTTCCTCCTTTCTTTCCAGGCTACCGGTGAAGGCAAAGGAAGGGTCAAAGACCCGTGGGTATCACTCTACCTTCAACCATGCAGCGCCACTTTCAAACCCAGGGAGCATGGGGGGAGGGAGCCACTAAACAGGCACCAGGAGTGCTTTTCTTCTGAGCAGCAATAAGAGAGCGTTGGGGCATCTGGGTGTGTTAGGGAATGCGGGGAGGTGAGGGGATTGGAGTGTCAGAGGCTCTAGCTGAGAAGGGAAAGGGGAGCCAGAGCACGTGAGGGGCACGAGAAGTCCAGGATCCTCACCCGGCTCCAGGGTGCAGAGCAGCCGAGGTGCGGTCCGGGAAATACAGCTCCGTTTCTTGAGCACATTGCTGAGGATGTTGCCTACGCCTCCCCCGCTCTGCCGTTTGAGGCATCTCCCACCTCGTCTCAGGGAGCCGGTCAGCTTGTCCTGCCTCATCGGGAACAGCCTTGGGCTCCGGGAAGGCTACCATCCACTCCTCTCCCCACCGCTGGCTCGCCCCGTAACTGCCCAGGCCCTGGCAACAAGGAAGTCAAGTAGCGTGTCCTTTGCTGGGGGGCAGAAAGCGGCTGTGGCCCCTTCAAGATAAAGAGGCGATTCAGGGCAGGAGAGCTGGTCTAGAGGCCATGACGAAAAGCCGGGAGGCGCCGAGGGAGCTTGGTGAGCAGAGGCCGGAAGACATCTGCAGTGCAGAGACAGTACAGCCGAGGGATGGAAGTAAGCCGAGGGATGGAAGAGGACTGGGGGATGGGGAGGGAGAGAGGGAGAGAGCGAAAGGAGAGGACTGCTGCTCCCGCCCACAATCCCAACACCAATGAGCTGAGGAGAGGCAGTTCATTCAATGAGCTCATATATGCCTTGATTAACACATGCCCAGCCTGGCTCAGTCGCTACTTCCAGCACCTCAGAGAGTGGGCGAGCTAGA